GGAGTTTTGAAGCATTCCCTTCCCTTCAGTTGTTTTAACAAATTAGAGAAGAATTGAAATTATTCTTTGAATGTTACGTACAAATTAACAGTGAAGCCACTTGATCCTGGTCTCTTTGATGGGAAGGTTTTCATTACTAATTGAATCTCCATCTTGGTAGTTGGTTTATTGAGTTTTGCTATGTCATCATGACTCAGTTCAAGTAGATTGTATATGTCTAGATATTTATCCATCTTTTCTATGTTTTCCAGTTTGTTGTCACATAGCTAATTGCAGTAATTCCTGATTCTTTGTATTTCTACAGTATTTGTTATATCCTTCTTTCTTCTCTGATTTTATTGTTTTGTATTTTTCTCTTTTTTCCCTAGTTGGGCTTATGTTGTATCAATTTTATTTAAAAAACATTTCACTGATTTTTGTTTCATTTTTATGTAAATTAAAAATTTATTAGAATTTAAATTATTCTTCCATCCTACATGAAACTTAGAGCCAGGAGCATATTCCAAAATCTCCCAATCGCTTGAGCTGTACTGTACTCATTCCCAGGTGCATTAACAGGGAACAGAGTTGGAAGAAAAGCAGCCAATATTTGAACCAGCAGCCATATGGGATACTGGCATAGTAGGTAATAACATTATCTGCTATGCTTTTTAATTCTGTCAGCCTGTATCATTTAGAGAATTTAGGCCATCATATCCAAGGTTATTATATGTAATGATTTGTTCCTACCATTTCTTCATTATATTCATACTATTTGCTCTGGATTCTCTGTGAATTTGCAAGAATTTCTGCATCCATGGTGTTTTGCAGCGGTGACTCTCATCCTCTATGTGTGTAGCACATCCTTAAACATTTCTAAGGTTTGAGAGCTAACCACAATTCTTTCAATTCTTGTCTGTTTTGCAAAATCTTTGTTTAACCCTTGTAAGTAAATGTGAGCTTTTCTGAGCACAGAATTCTGCACTGACCATTTCTTTAAGACTTGGAGAATATTCCTGCGTTCTCCCTTTGCCTGTAGAGATTCTGATGAGAAATCAGTGCTAGTTGATTTGGAGAATCTCGGAAAGAAATCTGACATTTCTGTAGTGCACATTTGAGAAGTTTTTGTGTGTGTGTTTGTTGCTTATGGTTTGCTGTTGAAAGTTTGACATATGTGGTGAGGATTGATTCTGATGAACTCTAGAATTCCTAACAATGTACTTGGATTTTCCATTTTTTTCCACCACGTTAGTGAGTTTTTTGCTGTCATTTCACTGAATTGACCTTCTAATGCATACTCTATTTGCATTCATTTTGGAACTGCTGCGGTATGTGTGGTTGGTTGGGAGATAGCATCCTATAAATCTCAAATGCTATTTTCATTTTTTTTCTGTTTCTGTCCGATACATCTTCAGAGTGTCTTCCAGTTTAGAAATGCTTTCTCCGTCATCGAGTCTGCTGTTGACACTTACCCCTGTGTTTTCTCTTTGACAGATTGAATTCATTTATTTTACGTCAATTATTTCAATAACTTAATCTCTTGACAAAATTCTTCAGCCATCCCATGTATGGATTTCTTCATTTCATGAATATGTCTCTGTGTTTTTGAGAAGCCTACAATCAGCTTTTCTAATTTTCAAACATTTCATCAATTTCGTTATGGTCACATTCTAATATTGAAACATTTTATTCCTTTTAAGAAAGCTCTTTTTATTATTTCTTGCAATGAAATGTTTATTTTTTAGGCATCTGTGGCAGTGCTTGTTTTTCTTCTGTGATGTCTTTAATCCTTAGCTATGCCTTTGTGCTTAGTGGAGTGTCTGTTCCTTCAGTGAGTATACACAGGCAGATTCTTGGTGGGAGCACTGAGCTGTGGTGAGTGCTGACGTTTTGGCCAAACATCTAGGGTAACATGGAAGTTGTCATCTCTGTTGTCAGCAAAGAGAAGGGCATGACCATGCCTGCTGACGTAATTATAACCTTATCTCTGTTGCAAGGTGATCAATGCCCAGGGAATAGCCCACTGTGGGTACAGCCCCTACAAGTGCAAATACGTGTACTGCATAAAGGATTTGTGAGGTTCTCCGTGTGAGCACACAACTCTGCAATGATCCAAAGTCAGTAAGGAAGATGGGTTGTTTTACTCCCATAAGATGCCCTGGTACAATAGTTTCTACAGTCTGTCTTGGAATCAAATGTTGCCCTCTTCATGCTAGTCACTAGGCATGCTTTTTGGAGGATGCATAGAAAGAAGTGTGTTCTCCTTCGGCTTACTGGGTGAGTATCCTTCATCCTCCTACTCCTCCATTCATGTTAGGACTCTGGACCAGACTCAAAGTCAGTGTGGTCCACAAGGTTCTCTTCAGGCAATTTCCACCAGTGACAAGTGATATTATTTCCCGCTGCCACCTCACTCTCAGGAGCTGGTATCTTCTCTAGCTCCCTTTAGGAGTTGCAGGTGGTGTTCATTCTTGCTCTTGCATGTTTATACTATATTTGCTGTGCCATGTTAACTTTCTTCCTTCTATAAAATTTCCTCTGCAAACTTCTAACTTTTCCCTTGGAATACAGCTCTGCCTTTTCTGTTATTTTCCCCTTGTAAAGACCAGAATGTCTTTTCCCTACTCAGCTAACTTGGAATCTTCCATCAATTGTATTCTAATGGCCTAGTAATTATAGACTATTGTGGGGTGCAGTTGATGGTAATTGGTTTATTTTGGTGAGTGCTGGTTTTGGGCAGTGTTTCCATAGCAGCTACTTTTCTCAGAATACAGTTTGGAGATTTGGGGCATATTATTGTTGTTAGGTTTTATTAATGCTTGCTCATATAATCAAGATCACTAGGTTAGTATGTTCTGGATAAGGTTGCACTTAAAATTTCACCAATAGATATTTCTGCTTTTTAAAATTTTCCCTTCAAGAAGTTCTCTGGAACTTCTCTTGATCAACAAAACTGTGGACTAGTATAACTGGAATGTAGTGTCAAACAAGACTTAAGACAAAGTTACTTTTTTTGATTCTTGGGATAACTCATTTAGTATTTAAGGTTTATGTATTAAGGTTTAGTATTATGTATTATGTATTAAGGTTTAGTATTAAGGTTTATTATAAAGGCAGAGTTTTATGGAGAAGGAGAGACAATGAGAAAGTATTTCCGTCCATTAGTTCACTTCCCAAAAAGCCACATCAGACAGGGCTGGATCAAGTGGAAGCCAGGAGCCTGGAACTCCATTTGGATCTCCCACATGTGTGTAACAGCTGAGTATTTGGGTCATCCTTGCTGTTTTTCTCAAGCTCATTAAGAGGGAGCTGGTTCAGAAGTGAAATATTCACTATTTGAACCATTGCTCAAATGGAATACCAGCATCACAGACTCTGGCTTAACCCTCTGTGTCAAAAGACCAACCCTAAAATTTACTTTTGAATCAAAAGTTGTTTTTATATTATTTTTAAAAAATTATCAAATATACAAATCATACATAGTTATGCTTTCTAATTGGCAGACAAATATTTAATTTACAAATTCCCAGAAAAAGACACAAGGCATGCAACATAAAATAAACCAATATTTTGTTAGTTGTGCCTTAATGCTAAGCTGTCTTACGCAAAATAACTTAATTTCTAATGAAATAACTCTTTACTGATTATATGTGGGTGGCACATATGGATTTTGTTCTAAAGAAGTATGAAGGAACAATCTGACAAAAATGACCTTGACCTAGTGAACAGGGTAACTGACAAAAGATTTATATTTCAAAATCAGAGAAAGAGCTTATAAGTGTAAGGTTTCTAAACTAAACATTCTAAGACTAGGTCAACTGTTGTTAGGCATCTGGATTCTGTATGGAGTGGTGTAAAAGAGGTGCCATGAGCCTAGGCATAAGGAAAAGACATAAGATTTAGCTTAGCTAAGAAAACACAAAGACCATCTTGATCGGTATGATTTTCAATGCATGGATTGTAGCAAATAAAACAGGACAAAATGAGCTTTGAAGATGTGAGAATTCTCTACTTATCAGTTATTTTCTGTGAATCTGCAACTATTCAAATGGAAAAAAAATGTTTATTTTCATTTACTTGAAAAAGTGAGACAGACACACTGTTACACACACACACACACACGCACGCACACACACACACACACACACACACACACACACACACACAGAGTGAGAAGAGAAAGAGATCTTCTGTGCACTCGTTTACTCCCAACATGCCCCTAATAGTCAACAGCAAACAGACTTAAGCCCGGATTCCACAGCTCCATCTGGGTCTCCCACTTGGGTGCAGGAGCACAAACTCTTGAGCCATCTTCAGCTGCCCCTCAAGATTGATTATGATAAAGTTGAAATAGAGTGTAGAGATGGGACTAGATCTGATACTGCAAAATGAGAGGTAGGCATCCCAAGGGGTGGCATAATCCAGTTGGCTACAAGGTTTGCACCCAGTTTTAATTACCGCAGTTTACAACTAAAGATCATAATAGTCATGTACTCACTTCCTGCTTCTTCCTGATCTTTGGTAATGAAAAATTCCATTTATTTCTAGAGAAAATTTTCTGAGTGATTGAGAATTCTATTACCATTCTAACAATAAGAAAAGGCCTAATCTGTAAATGCTGAGCCAATATATCCTGGTTCAGGATTAAAATGTTCAGGAAGATTAAATTAAAATATAACGTTATGGTAGTCGAGTTTTTGAAATCCATGTAGTTTTCCAGAGTACACTTTTTTCTTTGAACATTTTAAATGTTTTCTCATATGCATGGACTTCAATTTTTTTTTTTTACATCCAAATTTAGCTTTTAAGTTTATTTGTTCCACAAATGTTTTAAAGTCCTTCATACCTTCAAGAAAAAGTATTTGATGGCAAATGCAGTTCAGTTTACAGTTGAATTCATCATTACAATCTATTGGTTTAAATAAGTAAAATCAATTATTCCAACCAAAAAATGGATAAAGAAAAAAGTCTGGTTTGTGCCTATGAGGTGAACTACTGTGTTATTTGCTGTTCTCTTTCAGGACCGTGCACAAAATCTGAATGAACGCCGAACCACCACAACCACCCTCACTGTGGATGTATTGGATGGGGATGACTTGGGTCCCATGTTTCTTCCCTGCGTCCTTGTGCCAAACACTCGAGACTGTCGTCCTCTCACCTATCAAGCTGTCATTCCCGAGTTAAGAACCCCGGTAAGCATCCCCCTCACCTTTCCCCATGGTTTGTATTGCTTTAGTCTCAGCTACATTCCGCTCAAATGTTTTGCAGACATGTGAATTAATAATTATAAAATTGCCTATGCAGATGTTGAAAATGGTTATGCCTGACCTATAGTTTTCCACAACCCAAAGATGATGTGAAAGTTTTTGTTCACGATATATAATCATTTTCATGGTAGAGTGTATCATGATAAAATAAACACTTTGGTACAATTTTTTTCCACGAGAAACATCACAGTGGATTTCAGTTGTCAAAGTGTTGTGAGAATCCCCATTGAATAACTTCAGCATTTGCTTAAATACGCCATTAAACTTGCAGTACTAAGTACATTTACATCTGCAGGAAATGCTTTTGGCCCTAGAGCTCCACATTGGAGATCATGCTGAACTCTTTGGAGTAGGAGATAACGGGTCCTGAATATACACATCCAGCTCTTAAAGATAGATTCTGCAGAAGCAAAAGGTGATGAATGCATACACTCACCTCTGCATTTAAAAAAAAATGATGGCACTATAACTTCTTGTCAGTTACAGTTCATACCTTAGACCATTGGAGATGATAGATTTGAATACCTACAAACAAAGAATCCTAGGATAGACAAATATCCTGCTGAGGCTAACCTATCAAACTTTCAAAAAATGAAAAAATGTGTGTGTATGTGTGTGTGTTTATTCCATTTTAGAGAAGTCAGATTGCTAGGAGTCAACTGTTTTTGTTGTGCTCTGAAAAACATTCAGCTCTTTGTATCTTAAACATCCTCAAATAGCAGATGTTGTCAAAAGACATTGTTCTTTTGTATAAATTTGATAAACTTAGTCTGAAGAATCCTCTGTGTATTTGACATATTGAACACTAAATCATCAATGTCTTCCCATAAATGCAAACTATAGTCCATTTCATTCATTTAAAACATTCTTTCACTTTGTGAGAAGTTTCCTTATAATAGATATTATAAGGCTGAACACAACCTCTGTGTCTACTAATGTAAATGATTGCTGCTGTCAGGCCTGGTATGAACAAATTGGGGAAAACAAAAATGTGTGCATTAAATAAATACATACACTTCCAGGTAAGTGAATTTTTTCACAGATAAAAAAGGTAGTTACAGGTATTGGAGAAATATACATATATATTTATACATACATACGTGCATACATTCCACCTAACTTTGTACATCATGATAGTATTTTGTTTTTCTTGTTCTTAATTTTTAGGAATTTTCCAAATATTGCCTTGTTTCTTTTCCTCACACACTGCAGTTCTCACTAAGAATGAATGAATTAACCAACTTCAGTGGGATGTGAGGAGATTGTCTCTATGTTGTTGATGTGCTTTTTGACATGAGAACTCTCCCGAGTTTGTAACTTTTCTAAACATGTGTACCGTGCTTCCTGCAGCTGCCTAGTTTTGCTTTCTGATCCGTCTGAATGTGTCTGCATTGACTCTCGTGTTACTCTCCCTCACTGCTGTGACTTAAAGCTGGTCTTGTTTTATCCGCAAACCCACCATTCTGAAAAGGCACTTTGTGCCCTACAAAATGTTGCTCAAATTTCTTCATTACCCCGTCATTTCCCTTGTCAAAATATTGCAACTACAACCACACACTTCTCCCCTTTCAACCACCATCCTGTTAGGGTCCGTGTTACATGTTTTGTTTTGCCTTGTTTTGTTAGCAAAATCATGGTTTAAATTTTTTTCTATTTTAATATTTTATTAAAATGAAGAAACTTTGATGTTTTTCATCATATCCCCAAAAAGCCACAAACTTTTCATCATATCAATTCAAAGTAATCACGTCTGAACACTTTGCAGTATCGGCAGTTCTAGCTCACAAAACATTATAACTGAAAATCTGAGAGAATTATGTGAATGGAACTTCACATATAACCCTGACCTGTGAGAATCACTCTCTTTTCTACATTTTGTTTCATACGTTAAGATTTCATTTGTTGTTCAAGACTAATCTTGGTTTTCCTGAGAGTTCTCAAGATTAACACTTTTTCTGCTAATTTATTACCATAAATATTGATAACAATCTTGCATTTTAGACATTTTTCTGTCTCTTTTACAAGACTATAAGTTTTTCAGGTTCTCATTTGAAACCACAGAATATTGATCTGAATTATATCATCAATTAAAAATTTAACAGGCATGTACTGCACATTAAGACATTGGTTATAAATATAAATAAGCAAGGTCCTTGCCCTATTTGTTTCAATTACAGTGCATATATAACTCTGCATATGAAAATAGTATAATATATAGAGATAATTATTGCACTGAATAAATTAGCTATTATATGTAGATTTTGTATATAATATTAGTGTTCAGTTAAAAATATGATGGCAAGTATTACACTTGGTAATTATCCATTCAAGGATGATCTTTAGAGTCACATTTATCAGAGTCTTGATAAAGTAATCATATTTTCTAGTTTTTAGAGAATGCTTGTACATAATCCTTGTCCCTGAATGTTGCTCATGGTTGAGTTGCCCTTCCATGTTTTCCAAACATCATTTTTCTCCTCACTCCTTTGGTGAATTTCTTTCAACATCTTTCCTATGAAGTCCATTTTCAGTCAGCTTAGTTGGAAGTCAAAAGGGAAACAACTGACAGATCTAAAACTTTAGACAGCCTTTTGATGAGAAGATGGTCTATATGTCGAGACAAATGATAAAGAAGACATCTAGAGGCAGCATGTAATATTTATCGGTTTTCTTCACTCATACACACATTTTTACCAGAACCAGAACCAAATGCTCAAAAAAAAATCAGATTCAAATTCTATCCTTCTCAGAATGTATTAAATTTTGTGAAACATCTTGCAGAAAATTTACTGGTACAACTATTAGAGCTCATAAGGACATCATGTCTGATGTGAAACCCATGTTGTGTTGCTTTAATTACTGTAAGCCACAGTTTGAGTTTGCCATATGCAAAATAGCGAGTACTTCATATGTACATGATATGCATTCATATAATAAAAATGATAAAAATGATTTTGTAGCACATTTAGTCAGTTCCTAGCAAATAAAAGTGGTTTGACAATAGCAGTTATTATATTCCCAGTAGAGTTTTGCATATAGTTCAGTGTTTACTCAGAAACTCATCAGAAGAAGTATCTAAGTAAAATTGATAGCTAAGCATCGAAGTATCTGAAATTTAAGTATTAGTTGCAAAATTTGAGTTTTATTGGCCAAAACTCGGGTCATATATTCTGATTTCATCACTCTTGGCTAATTTACTATGATTTTTGACCCCTTAAAAAAATGCAACTCTTTTAATGAAGAAAGTGTTTTAGAGATTTTAAAAAACAACAGGCTTGTACCATTACCGCGTGTGAGAATATATTATGCAAAAAAATAGCACTTTGGGAGAGGTAGAACCTGATGCAAAATGCCAAAAGTAATGCTGTGAGTCAGAATTACGTTGATGAATTAAATTTTAAATGTCAGCCACAGTAACAGCTATCCTGATCTTTTCTTTTATTGAGAATTTAGAAACAGTGGATTTCAACGAAGTTCTTCTAATTGTCCCATAGAGCCTTGCATTTTGCAGAGTTGCGTAGGGCTTCTAGTCCAGATGAAAACAGGGATTCCATTCTCTATAGCTTGTAATTATTTTTCCTGCTACACTAATGTTTTCACTGCCTTATTATGAAAGAATTGGCTGCTAACTATATACTATACTTAAACACTTAAATTGCATGTATCTAAATCTGTTCTTTTGAAAAACGTTCATTTCTTTTGCTGATTTTTTTAAGGTTTTTTTTTTTTTTTTTTTTAACTGTGCCTGGGTTTCTAAAGCTCTGTTTAAATCCTGGATATTAGTCCCCTGTGCAAAAATGTTCTCCCATTTTGTTGGTTGCTTCTTCACTTTATTTCCTTTGCTGTACAGAAGCTTTTTAGTTTAATATGGTCCCATTTGTTCTTTTGCCTTTGTGCACTTGGCCTCTTTTCTAAGAAGTCTTTTCCCATTCCTATTTCTTGGAGAGTGTTTCCTATGCTTTCCTTTAATGGTGTGTTGGTCTCTGGGTGCAGCTTTGGTCCTTGATCCATTTAGAGCTGATTTTTGTATACTGTGACAGGTGTGGGTCTTGCTTCTTAATTCTGCAAGCTGCTATCCAGTTGTCCCAACAGCATTTGTTGAATACCAGGCTTTTTACCTGAATTGTTTTCGGTTTTCTTGTAAAAGATTAATTGGCTATACATGTGTGGGCTTCCTTCTGATGTTTCTGTTCTGTTTCATTGATCTTCTCTTTCTGTGCCAGTGCCAGACTATTTTTGATAACCACTGCTCTGTAGTATGTCTTGAGCTCTGGAATTCTGAATTTTCCAGCTTGGATTTTATTCATGATATCTTTAGGTAATTGTGGGCTCTTTTGACGGACTTTTGTGTCATCTTTTCTATTTCTGAGAACAATTTTGTTGGAATTTTGATTGGGATTGCATTGGATCTATATGCACAAAAGAAAGGAAAAACTGCATATAAGAAGAGGATCTGTAATTCTATATTTACAGCAGCATAATCTACAATAGCAAAGACATGGAAACAATCCAGATGCCCATCCAAAAAGGAGTGGTACATCTACTACATAGAATATCACACAGCTATTAAGAAGAATGAAATTACACCATTTAAGACCATTATGCTCAGTGAAATAAGTCAATCCCAAGAGAACAAATACCATATGTTCTCGCTAATATAAGGAAACGATCATGTAAATTGTAACTTCAATAACCTATTCCATACTGTTTTTTGGCTGCATCCCAGATGTTTTGATGTTTTCATTTCATTTTCATTCTTCCAAGTACTTTATTTTTCTTGACAAATTCATCACTGGCTCATGGATTACATGGTAGCATCATTTTACCTAAGAGACTTTTGTGTTTTCTTTTTGTCACTGTGTGTTGATTATTCAGTGGCATGTTTTTCAACTCCATGCTGCTGTAATTTTGTTGTTCTAATTCAT